ATTTGATTATACACTATTAGTTCAATGTACATTTATTGTTTGATTAGTTTTCTATGGCTTATCAAATATTTGCAGGTTATTTAAAGCAAGAAAATGTTTGTAGATTAAGAGATTTTTTTCTTAATGATACAAGTCTTACTAATTAACCCACAGTTGGGGGAGAAGAGGTGGATTTATACATTTTTTAAAGGTACTTGTGCATAAGTGAATAAAGCAAATACAATTTGGAATTGGAATTTGGCTCTCCAATTAACAATTCTACGCCATTATTCACTACGCCACCTGCACATTCAATCTTACAGCACTTGGTATTCCCAAGTGGTCACCCATCTGTGTACTGACCAGGGTTAATTTGGGGGTTTGTATAGGAACTAGTGTTTCAATATGATTTGCCCATAAGCAGTTTATATATATATATATATATATATATATATATATATATATATATATATGATAGAAATTAAAGAGGATTTGAGATAATCATAATTAAAGTAATTCATTAAGTCTAGAAGAAACCTCAGCAGAATGCAGAAACCACTTGACGGCCATTTTTGTCCTATATTTGGAACTCATCATTCATTCAATTCTCAGTAGTGGATACGCACTGCTGATGAGTCCCAAATATAGGATGAAACGGCTGTCCAGTGCTTTCTGCATTCTGTTGAGGTTTCTTCTAGACTTGATGAGTTACTTAATTATGATTATCTCAAATCCTCTTTAATTTCTATCATATATATATATATATATAATCTCCATGTATGCTCCTTATATTATATAAAAAATGATGGCAATGGTATTCTTTGTATATTTTTTGTTTTTTATTTAATCATATGGGAGAAAAAATATTTTGTTTGCTCCTGCAGGTCTCTCTTGTGCATGTGAGTGGTGGGGGAGAATGAATCAGGTGACACAACCAAGGAATTGCTGATTCTTACATTGAGGTCATTAAGTCCACTGAATAGGAATTTTTCCCCTGTTCAAAAAACACTATTTACAAGCACTCACATATATATATATATATATATATATATATATGAAAGTAGATACTGAGATGGATATGACATGGCCTGAAGATTGTGTTGAAGCTTGGTGTTGACTTCAGTATCCACTTTTATATTTATATATGCTCAGATATTGAATGCTTTTTCCCCATAAATATAACATACCTTAAAATTCTGTATGTGTGTGTATATATATATATATATATATATATATATATATATATATATATATATATATATAGACGTTTGATCAAAAAGTATTACTTCAGCATTTACTCTCCTTTGAAGTAATGACCTTCTGAAGCCACATGTTATCCTGTGTTGTTTCCATTGATGGAAGAATTCCTGGAATTCTTTTTTTGGATAGTGATCAGCTGCTTCATTGTATTCTCTTGGATTTCCTCGATGTCTTGAAATTCTGTTCCTTTCAAGAGGGATTTTATTTTTAAAGAGGAAAAAGTTTCAAAGTTTTTGTGGGGAATATAGTGATTGTTGGACCTGGGGGGAATGTGTGCTTGGCCAAAAACTACTGCACAAACCACATTCACTGATGGAGCTTCTATGGTGTGGTGAGACGACCACACTGTACACACTTTCCTTCCAAGCATTGCTGTTACCATAGCAACAGTACCAATACTTTTTTTTTTTTATCAGACCTCATGTACATAGTCATTTTTTTCTCTTACAAAAATGTTAGGTTTTTATGAAATTTTACAAATGCATTTGTTGCAACATCAGAAACAAGGTAATTATTTTCATATGTGAACAACTTTATTTGTATTTATATTGTAAAAAAACATATTCAAATAGACAAGTATTTTCTATTTTATTGCATTTATTTGGTGACTAATATGCTTCTTGATTATAAACATTCAAATAATAAGAGGTGAACATTGATAGTAATTGTATACATGAGCTGAGTGGGAAATTGGCCAAGTCAGACTCGTGTGGATTTCAACAAAGTATGGATTTCTTTCCTTAGCAAGAAATGCAGGAAGCAACCTCACTCATAAAATATGGAATTGCCAATGTCAGATAAAATACTATGAGGATTGGCATAATGGATTGGTCCATTTAGTATATTCAGCATTGTTTTCTTCTCTTTTTTTTTTTTTTTTTTTTTTTTTTTCCTCTCTTTTGATTTATTGTTTTCGGTGATAAAAATAGAAGATTGATAGATACTACCAAAATGAAAACAGTCTACCTTCTCCTCCTGTACAGATTGTACCTTTGGAGAAAACTGAATTATACATTTGTTAAAACATTGTGATAAAAAAAGGAAGAGAGAAAAAGATCAATAGTCTGAACAAGTCTTGAGATGATAATGACTCATCGCAAAATTAAAGAATGTGCCATGAAAAATATGTACAAGGTGAAATTTGTCAGGAATAAAATTAATGCTGAAATTAGATAAACTCATGAAATTCTGAGTAAATTTCTAAGTAACACATAGAATTATCTTCAAAGTAAGTTTTTTTTTGTTTTTTTTTCTTTTTTTTAACTATGCTCAAGTGTATTGTTTTTTGTTTTTTTTACCTTATTCTATTAAACTAGTTTCACCATACTGTAAAAAAACTTAAGTTTAAGCCTTTCTTATTAATTTTTCGTGAGTTTTTAATCCAATAGGAATGCCACAGTCACTTGAGTGTATCCTTTTTACATGTTAACAACATTCTTATTCTGTGAACTTTCTGCCTTATTACTGATGCTTTGCTTAGTTTTGTCTTGCATTAATATATATATATATATATATATATATATATTCCTCTGTCCCAGACATTGAGATCTACCTGGATTCTATACTCTTGGAAATTTATATATATATTATATATATATATATATATATATATATATATTTGTTTGCTTCGTATTATTTTGTCCTGTTCTTTTTCTTCCTTTTCTTATTGTTTATTGAAAATTTTGCCATTTCCGTTTGTTGAGCATTTTTGACAATTACACTTAACCATGTCCAATTACTCTACATTATAACTATCCATAATTACATAGGCAAAGATGACTATTATTTTTGTATGGATCTGTAATATTGCTAGAGATCAATGTGTTATCTGTGTACTCTACCTCTACCTAACTTAGTACTTGTACAATAATTTTACAATACTTGCACAATAACTTTACCATGCTGCTCATGCAGAAATATGCTGGCATTATGGATATGCCACTTGTCTGGTTATCTTCCAGGTTGGAAGTTCAAGTTTGCTTACTTTATTGCATAAAAAAAACTAAAAGGTAGAAATGATACAAATACACGTGACATTATATAAATAGATTATGGACATCACTCTTAGCATTCAATTTGTCCCCCACTGTCCAGTAAAAAAAAATTTGGTTAATTTTAAAGATAATAATTATCATTCATTTGTGTTGTTTCAATCTTGGTTTTTTATTAGTAGAAATTCATTGTTACTTTGTAAATGTTTTATTCATTTGTTCCCTGACAGGTTCCTCTAAGCATGGAAAATATCCAACACTTTCACCTATTTATTGGAATTGACTAAAAAGCACATTATACTGTACACAAAGATGTTTTTTTATTGACCATTGCTTTCAATTAAAGCTAATATATTTTTGTGTAAAACCAACAAGTAAAAGTATAATTTTTTGTGTATTTGTTTGTTTCTAATTCTTTTGAATGGTTTTGACAAAAGTTATTTTGTTGTCTATAAAAATTGTAGGCTTATGACCATATCATTTTGAAACATTGGTTCCCATATGGTCATCGAAGTTAAGAAATGTTGATCCTGGTTAATACCTAAATGGGTGACTGCTTGGGTATAAAAAGTGCTGTAAGCTTAGCTGTGTGGGCAATTTAATGGATAAGGGTTTGGAATTGTTAATAAGAAAGTCAAGTTCCAATTTTGTTTGGGTATGTTATATTCACTTACGTGCAAATACACTTGGGAAAGGCATGAATCCGCTTCATCTCCCCTCATCAATCATCATTATCTCTAAAAACAATTCTTACAATCTAAAAATATTTTCTGGCTTTAAATAACCTACACTGGGTTGATAAGCCATAGAAAACAAATCAAACAGTTTAATTATAAAAACTGTTCATTTTTTTTGTCTTGGAGTTATTCATTTGAAACTTAGCAACAGAAATGGATGATTTTTAAACTCTAATTTCACTTTATGAAAAATAGTACAAATAATAATAACCAATAATAGTTGACATTTATATCATTGATATTTCTCAGTTCTGATGGCATTATGCAGAGTTTAATCATTTAACAGTGGACTGTCTCATTGAGACCAAACTTGTAGTCAGTGATTAGCAAATCTACAAATTAAGGATACTATACAACTCATTAAGAGCCATCTTTTGACCAATAAAAAATTAAATCAGATTTTCAAAGTGCCCCAAAATGATAATGACTGTTGAGAAAGTCTTGTTCTGAATCACATCTAAACATAAACTGATGTTTATATTAATGTCCTTCTGAGATAGTGTTTTCCTTTTTTCCTTATGTTATTCAAACTCTATGGACCAGATACAATGTATGTTTTTAGAAAGGCCAAAGAATATCATTGGCTAAAATATGTTGATAACACAGATAAAGGCAACAGTCTAAATAATATGTCAAATAATATCTGGTTGTTATTCTCACTAATTTTCTGGATTTTGTTCATTTTTATATCATTAAGCCTTGAAATTTCTGAAAATAGAAAAATTCATGAAACAAGAACAAATGACACAATCTTTTTCTAAATTACTGTATCTTAATTACTTGGAAGAAACTGACAAGATCTCTTGAAAAAATTCTTTGCTTTGAAGTGGCTGATGGGTTTTTACAGGAGAAATTTCTTTGTCTTGTAGTGTCTCTTGAGATAGTTCTTTAATAGGTAATCATGCACTGATATTGATAAGACAGAGGAACCTAGGAGAAAAAAGAAAAACATTTTTCAGTAAAATAAAAGAAATATCCTGCCTGAGGGATAAAAAAAATGGTATGCTTTTATTACAAGTAGTTAAATTGGTCAATGTACAAAAAGTAAACTGACAACATTCCAAGGATTTAACTCTATGCTTAAATAAGCTATCAGTTATATATCATATTTGATGACCTAAAACCCTTAACATTTAATCTTATATTATTATGGAATTAGACTCACTGTAAATAATTCTCTTTCTTTTTTTCTTTTCTTTTCTCTTTCTTTCTTTTCTTTCTTTCTTTCTTTTTCTCTCTCTTTCTTTTTCTCTCTCTTTCTTTTTCTCTCTCTTTCTTTTTCTCTCTCTTTCTTTTTCTCTCTCTTTCTTTTTCTCTCTCTTTCTTTTTCTCTCTCTTTCTTTTTCTCTCTCTTTCTTTTTCTCCTTTTTTGTACTAAAGTTCACTCAATACAAGTCCCAAGAACTACTTAAGTTAGAGGGTTACTGAATTGGATATTTTATAAGAACATAAGAGGAAGTAGGGAGTGAGGATTATGGGGATAGGGTGAATAGATAACATTTGAGGTTAAGAATATAGTATTTAGGGAAGAATCCATGCAGACATCTGTTCAACAAAGTAGTGATTGTTATCTTAAATTTTTGGTTGTTGTGCTTTCTGGCCTTCCTCAGGTGTATATCTATCTGGGAATTCTGAACTGAACCCATAAAATTAGAACTATGTCAGATATCCCTAGACATGAACAATGGAATGAGAAGTTTAATCTCTGTAGATTAAATAAAGGGTTCTAGTTTAACATTACCTGTAGGTTATTCAAAACTATATACACCTGAGGTTGGCTGGGGGGTAAAATGGCCGAGACCTTGTGATAAAGATGAGGATAATAGATTGAATATTAATAGTGTAAAAGGTTGTGGTTCTTGGGCAGAAGTTTTCAGAGTGGAATACCCTTTTTACCAAAGGAATACACAGGGAATGAGGGTGATTCAAAATATAAAATTCTGAACTGGGGGCACTAAAGAATGGAGCTTATCAGAACATTTACCATGGAAGTTGCAATAGAGTACTGATAGGGAAAGGGGCTGTATGGTGGGAAATGCGTCATCCCCTACATGGCCACATAAATTTTGAATTTTGTCAAGGCTGGAAAGTGAGGATTGGGCAGCTTTCACCCCAGATGTGGTAGTAATATTCCATTTTTTTTTTTTTTTTTTTTTTTTTGTCTAATCTTAAAGCATGGTAGGAGTCGCTACTTTCTGAAGTGATAGAATGAGCCAACCATTTTCCCACCATTTTCAGTCCCAATAGATGTTCAGTGCATGGAGCTTCATTAAGAATGTAATCATTCCATTCAACATGACTGGAGTCAATTCAGAATCTGCATCTGTTTTGGAATATTAAAACACACAAGCCAGTCTTGTCCCCATTGAGTTGTTGAAGCTAGGTCAGAGGAGAGATCAGCTGCCGGACATGATTTTTGGAGGTGCACCCATAGTCTATGGTATCTAGGTAAAATTACCCTACCAGATACTTCAACTTTGCACATAAAATCTGGAAAGATATATATATATATATATATATATATATATATATATATATATATATATATATATATATATATATATATATATATATAATTTTTATTAAAAAATGTGTTTTTTTTACACACACACATAATATATATATATATATATATATATATATACACACCCACACAGCGGTGGGGGAGGATTTTTAATTTATTGTATTTCCAACTAATGAATAAACATATTTTTCATATAACTGTACACAGATGCATAATAACTAAATACGCATAGAATACAGAAAAAAATTGATTTAATAGAAATAAGTCCTATTTATCCATTTTAATGGGTGAAAAAATTATTCGTACAAAGCAATTTTCAGATTTTTAAACTTTTAAATTGCTTTAATACTCTTGATTATTCAAGTAGAATATTCTAAAATCTTCCAATAATGTTATCAGTAGTTATTTTTAGCCTAAAATAAACAAGCAGAACATTCTGTAATTTATATTTGTGCAAGAACGTTATCATCATGGTAAGATGTAAAGAATTGACAACTTCGCAAAAAGAATTGATTGTTAAGCTCTGGAAAGAAGGTAAAAGTTACAGAAAACTCTCCATTTACTACCATTATTTCATTCATTGCAAGGTATTAAAAAAACTCAAAACTTGAAAACCAAAGAATAGGTGCTCCACAGGAGACTTCAAGATCTTTGAGGAAATTAATGTCAAATTAAACAAAATCCAATGGTTATTTGTCAAGAGTTGCAGGATGATTTGCTTTCATGAATAATCTGTCACTAAACAGACTATAAGCAAAGAAAAAATCTAAAATCATGCTCCCCTAGGAAAACTCCATCACTGAATTGAAAAGACACAAATGTCAGGTTGAAATTTGTTTATGACCATAAGAATAAGGAAAAATTGTATTGGAAAAGAGTATTATGGGTAGACAAAACCAAAATTGAGTTGTTTGGACATGATTCTAGAAATCATGCATGGAGGAAAGATGGCAATGCCTTCAAACAAAAGAACACAGTTCCAACAGTGAAATTTGGTGGTAGCAGCATCATAGTTTGGGGTTTTTTTCTGCAAAAGGTTCTGGCAACATATCAGTCATAGATAACAGAATGAATATTGCAGCATATCAAAATATTTTGGAAGAAAATTTCAGTTGAAAATATTGAACTTCCTCCTGATTGGATCTTCCAACAAGATAATGATCCTAAGCACACTGCAAAATCTATGAAGAAATTGCTTGCTGAAAATAATGTATATATCCTGAAATGTTAAGTCAGTCCTCAAATTTAAACCCAATCAATCTGTGGTGTTATTTGAAAATTCAAATCTGATTGAGAGCTCTAACAAATATCCCTGATCTGAAGACCATATGCAAAGAAGAATGGAACAAAATACCAACTAAAATTTGTAAATCATTGAGAACTACAAGAAGAGGTTGGTTGCTGTAGAAGCGAATAATACCTATTCTACAAAGTATTAAATGAAGATTATGTATTCTTTTTTGTATTGTATGAATACTTTTTTCATCCATTAAAATGAATAAATGGGATTTATTTCTATTAAATCAAAATTATTTTCTGTTTTCTATGCATATTTAGTTATTATGCATCTGTGTACAGTTAATTATATGAAAAATATCTTTATTCATTAGTTGGAAATAAAATTAATTAAAGATTTGTATGTGTACGAATATGTTTACTCTGCTATATATATATATATATATATATATATATAAAATTTAAAAAAAAAATATATTTTTTTAAATGTACATTATTTTTCATTTTAAATAATAGTGTTATATGCATACCATCAAATATGATGAATTAAATTGTTTTTATTGAGAAATACTGTTATTTAAATGACTTTGATAAACTAAACAAGTAGAAAACTGTAGAAAAAAAATTTCTAATAATTCTCAGATCAATAAACCGTTTTAAAATTACAACCTCTTTAAATTGTTACTAATTGTTTCTCTTTGTTTATTCAGTTACACGAGTACAAAGCAGGAACTGCATCAGAAAGAACTTATTTTGTGGAACTGTGGGAGGTTGGTGGAACAAACATTCATGCCAACAGCAGATACATCTTCTATAATACAGTCCACGGTAAGAGAATAAAGAAAATATTCTTATTTTACAATTCTCTCTACTTAGTGTATTTTTCTAACAAGTAAAGACATTAATGATCTATCTCTAGTAGGAACAAGGAGGATTATTACAAAATAGCCCTTTGCATCTCTGGAGTACTCATTATATACTGTTTATATAACCCATGGTGTCAGGAATGGTATTTATTAAACAAATATCTCAACTTTCATTCATTATCATGAGTACATTTATAGTGATACAGCAATTACTACAATCCTGCATAGAAATTCATTGGAATTGATTTTAATGTCTCCATGCATTGAATACCAGCTTTTTATATAAGCTATAAATTATTGCAGCAATGATTATATTTATGACATAGCAGATACTAAAAGCAGGAAATAAGAAGTTAATAATTTCCATAATACATTCAATGTGTGAACTGATTTACCAAATATTATAGTGTATCAAAAGTATTTTTTACTGACCTTTATTTTTAAAATCTTATATAATACTTTATATAGAGTATATTTTTGTGATCAAAAGTCTGTTTAACATATAATCCCTGGAAATTATTGCTACCTCTCTGCCATAATGGGTGTTACATTCAGTATTTGAAATTTGTCCCAAAATGGTTATTACATTTTTAAAATAAAATAAATTTTTTTTAAATAAAATAAAAGATAAACTTTGTTTGGTACCATTAATTTTTAGATACATTTAAATAAATTTTTTTAAAGTATTTTTTTTTTTTCATTTAAAATATGTTTTTATACTAAAGTTTTTACTCAATACAAGGCTCAGGAGCCACTCATGGTAGAGTTATAGAAAGAGGTGTGTGATATGAACATAAGAGGAGGTTGAGAGCACTTCAACATGGTGTAATGGCTAGTAAGCTTCTCACCAGATCAATTACTACCAAGTAGTGAGTTTGATCCTAACTAGGTCCTCTTTACTTTTGGCCTTGTGCTACATCTAAGTTTTGCTTAATAAATTTCTATCACCACCTCTTATAGAAGGAAGTGAAAATTATTAGGATAAGGAGGATAGATAGCAATCGACCCTTGACTTGAAAAGGTTAAGTTTGTAGTGTTCAGGGAAGTATCCATTTGGAAGTTTGTTCCACAAAATAGCAGTTCTTGAGTGGAACTTTCTCCTTAGAAATGTAATGTTGTTGTAAAGTGTCACTGCCAACACTTGGGTTTGAACACAGATCACCAGAGAACAAACACAGGTGATCCCATTTTGAATAAGTAGATCATGTGATGGTAAAGGAAATGTATATATTGGAATTAGTGTGGCATCTAATTAATCACCATTTCTGTTCTATCCTCTATTACTATATGGATCGCTATTCTCCATACTGATCACTATTCGGTGGTTACTATTCGAGCAAGTATTATTAGTAGGTGTCTGGCACCAGTATTGTTCAAAGGTGTTACTACAGTTGTATCTGCAATTACAAAGTCTCTACTACAATGAGCATTACAAAAGTGACAATGAGTATTTGTTGACATCACAAAAAATGCAGAGGAAATATGGTTTATTCTATTCTGTGGATGTAGCATAACAAGTGCTAGCTGTAAAGATTTGAACTAGTGGAACTAAATATCATTTGTCATTTAAGATTTTACCTTACATCTTCAATTCCTAACCATGATTGATATTTTTTGCTAAAATATATAAAAACAGCAATTTTGAAAATTTCTTTGTTTTTTTTTTTTTTTTTAAGTTTTCCACATTATCTTTTTAAAAATAATTTGTTGACAACATGTAAAATTAGTTAGTATTGCCAGTAATCAAAGAAAAGTATGCATCCTATTATGGGATGGAGATAGTGTGTATTATTATTTTTTTTTTTTTTATTTTTTTCAGGATTCATTTTTTTCCTATCAATATGCATTTAATAGTAACCTATTCTTCAGACTCCTGCTGATTCATAGATATTATATTCTCAGTATTCTAAAAAAATAAAAATTTATTTTGTTTTGTAATAATCTAAGTGGATTAAATCAAATCTTGAGCTGGATAGTCCAGATTCAATGAAAACAGAGCAAGCAATAACTGAACAGTACTAAGAAAAAAAGACAAGATAATATATCTATAGAGAGAAACAGCAGAACAAAAATAATCTAGCTCTGTAGGTTAAATAAAGGGTTCAGTTTAGAATTCCCTGAAGAAACCTGGAGGTCACAGCAGCTGAAACACAGCTGTAGATAATAATTAATCCTAGAAATTCAAACAGAAATATTCTTCTTGTTTCAACATGATTGTACATAAAATCTTTTGATGATGACAAAAGCTACTTCTGTACTGTTGTGTCTGGTTATTTCCTCCTAATTTTTTAAACTGCTCCTAGGGGACGCTCTCCAAAACTATAAATACTCTGTGATAATTTTTTATCTCTCTCTTCTTACTTTTCTGCTTATACAACACAATGTAAATCTCTCATAGAAGATTTCATTTTTCCCTTTGTAGGAAATGCATGAATGATATACACACACACACACACACACGCGTACACACACGTACACATGTACATATGCACATTCACTCACTTCACATACTTTGGATCAAAAACTTTCCACATTCATTTCTTACATACATTATTGTCTTTGTCACTTGTAAATCTTTGTTAATACATTATTATTTGTTTGTACATATATATCGGTTTTTGTTGTTTCTATTTACATATCTTTAGGTGGACTCATACTCCGAGTCTGCCATGTTTGTTGTTGGCATTTCAGAAGACACGTGTTTATCACTTAATGTATACACTGGCCTGCAACAGTTGTCCTTGGAAAATCTGTATCACTTTAAACTTGTTTCTTTTATTCATATTTTTATTGAATCTAGCAAATGAAGATTGTTACATAAATGTTTACTACTTCTGATCACAAAAATCCACAAAAGTTTAGATATAATTATAAAGTAGGCAACATGATTATAGTTATTTAACAAGCTTACAGCCATATCGTGTTAAAACAACAGTTCTCATCTGATCACTAAAGTTAACATTGAGCCTGGTCAGTAACTAGATAGATGACTGCTTGGGGATACCAGGTGCCGTAAGCTTGGGTGTGTGAATGGTGTAATGGATAACTGCTCAGAATGAGAGAGCAGAGTTCAAATTCCAGTTGAGTATGTTACATTCATTTATGACCAAATACCCTTGGGAAAGGTATGAATCCATCTCTTCTGCCACCAGCAATAGGTTAAACATAACAAAATAGATCCTATAGCCTTGGGCAGCAGTCAGTCTACTGCAGGAATTCTTCTGCCAAGATAATTATAAATCAAAGAGACATGATCGCATAAGCGCTCCACTTACATATGGATAAGTTAATTTTACTGATCTCTCAAGTAGAACAATATTAAATATATTTTCTGTCTGAATTTTTTTAGGGTGACGAGTTATTATTTACAGTTGAACTAATATCCTCATCTTTGCTATTATAACCACAATGTTTCAGACATTGTGCCCTCAAACCTCTTACTTAAGGTGTCTGTTGATCCAGGTAAACTTCAGAAAATTTTTAACTGAACCCATTATTTAATCTATGGCATTAGATTGTTCTCATTCCATTGTCCATGTCTAGGGATATCTCATCTTGTTTTTCTTTTTTTTTTTTTTTTAGTACTGCTCATTTATTGCTCAACCTGTTGCCACTGTGTCTGAGCCTGTACATGAATTCAGTGGAAACAGTAAAATGAGAACAGTCTAAATAAATGAAGAGTTCAGTTTGAAAGGTTACTCAGATTGATAGACACGTGAGGAAGGCTGGCGGCCACAATGACCAAAATGTTGTGATAATAAGAAAAAAGATGAAGATGTTAATCCGAATGTAAATAATAATAATATAAATATTAAATATATATTGTTAATAATATTAAACATTTAATTAATATTTAACATATCTTTAATATTGATTTTCAAAATGGTGCTGAAAACTTTTCAGCCCAACCCCCTCCTCAAAATCTGACCAAATAACTAAACTTTACAATTTCTTTTGGAATTCCTTCTTGGTGACAGAAAAATATGATTTTCTTGCTGTTTATTAAAGCAAAATAATTCTTGCAATTAGATCCTAATGTTTTCACATTGAGAAATAAATAATACAAATATCTAAATTTAAGTCCTTCAATTTTCATTTGAGTTTCATTCACCAGATTAAAAAGAAGTACTTAAGTTTTTTTTTCTGTATATATATATTTGTTCCATTTATTAAATGTCCACCACAATAATTAAAAAGTAAAATTTTTTTATTTTAAGAAATTAGTATTTTAAGAAATTGAATTTTAATTTTTGTATCATCTCTGCATCACCCTCCAAAAACATAACCCATTGTTCCAAAGTAATGTTGTATTGTCCCCAGGACGATATTAATATCAAGCCATAGATCTCTCTAGGAAAGTTTATTTCGACTATCAGCTCAGACCAGGGCTGTAGATTGGACTATTTTTGAAAGGTTACTAAATTTTAAATTTCATCATTTTCAAAATAAATTAAGCTAACTTAGTGTACTAATGAGAAGAAAGTCATTTCAAAATTTAGTAATGCCACATGGTGAGGTCACTCCACCCTAGATGTATAAATTGGAGTTAGTAATCCTGTTAACATATTAGATAAATTTCTTCTCTTGTTACAGTGTTGTTAGATTAGTTTTGGTGGTGTTTTTTTTTATAAATCTTATATCCAATAGAGATAGTGCTGAAAGTCAATTTTTCCTTTTTGTTTTCCTTTGCCAATCATCTCATTTGATCTTGTTGTTTCAGTTGAGTTTCAGCTTGCAATTGTCTTCTCTTTCTGTTAATCCAGTTATATTAATCTCTGTTCCAATTATTTCATGATTAATGACATTGATTGTCTTAAGCTCTCATCTTGTGTCATTTCTATCTTTTGCTTTCTTTCTCTGTCTGTTTGGCTCTGGTTGTTACTGTTGTGTTTTACTGAGCTTTTCAGCAAACTGTTGACTTGTGGCCAATCACCTTTGAATTCAGGGCAGGAATTAATACAA